CTGTGTGGTGAAATATATATGTAGGTGATATGAGCAATGAGTAATGAGTTGAAATGAGATGTATGATGAGAATGTAGGTGATATAAGCCATGTGTATTGAGTTTGAAATGGAATGTAAGAATGAAATACTTGTAGTATGAAATAAAAGTAGAATAAAATAAATGTGGAATGAAGTAATTGATGTATGAAAAGAAGTGGATGATGAGTGAGATGAGATGACAATATCTGGATGAGAAATCAAATGTATGGGATGAAACAGTATATGTAGTCTGAATAAGTGATATCTGAGATGAAATAAATAACATTTACTGAAAGATTATTATCATAGAAAGAAGGTACTGAGGGAAGACTAATTTGTATCTTGAGATGTGTGATATGTAGTATGTTGTAGCTATGTAGTACTATATATTATGTAACCAAACTATGTAAAAAATACTGTTTTGTAACCTTCTGAACTGGGTACAAGATAATGGGTTATGTAGCATGTGCATATCTGGTTGTAATAACATGAAAACTACTATAAATAGCTATTTTGTACTATATATGACCTTGATTGGTCTCACCACAACCTCCCCCAACTTTATTTGTCTGTCCCCAGACAATACCTCTCTTAAATAAATATTATGTACATTCTGTAACAATCATGTAAGAGGAAAAAATTAGAAATGTGAAAATTAGAATTGTGACAGAGAAACAAAAAGGAAAAAAAAGCATGAGTCCAATTGGCCAGTCTTGATTTTCAGGTTTGCTTGAGAATTGATTTTCTTGAATCCCAAATCTTCAGGTCTTGAATTTTAAATTTGAGGTTGATGTTCAGTTGAATTCTTGAAAGTGGAGTTTCTGATAATGAAATTTCTCATAATTTAGTACCAAGGTAAATTTTCTCTATTTCTGTCTTAAATAATTTTAATCTGTTTTAGCCATCTGACTAAAAAAATCTACTCTGATTCTAGTCCTCTGACTAAAAAATCTATTTAATTTTCTTATTTTTCTGTAATTTACCATTTAACTAAATTATGTAATTCTTTCTTTTCAATTTTCCCTTTCAAAGAATTCTTCTTCCAATGCTTCTCATGATTTAAACTTTTTCTTCTGAGTTTCTGATCTTCTTGTAAATCTTTTCTTTCCACAGCCTGTAATTTCTTACTAAACCTGCATGTTGTCATACTTTTGTTTAATTCTGCTTCTGATTTCTGTTGAATGTACATGTTGAAAGAAACTCTTACATGAATTCTTGGATGACTGAGCTTCAGCGACGAGAGGTTTCTGTACAGCTATCGGAATCGGAGTCGGAGTGTTAGATGTACTTTCTGAGAGGAGATCAAGATTGAACCAAATGAGCTGATCGCGTAGGTTCGATCAGAGTAAAATAAAAGAGAAACATCAATCGGATCTTGTTTAAGGACCTTGCCGAATCGGTCCGATAAAATAAAATAAAAAAACAGAAACCCAAGTCCGAAAAAGAAACAGAAACCGAGGGGATTTGATGACGATCTAGAATGTGTAATGGCAAAGATGAAAAGCTATTGGCGACGAGGGCCACGCTTCCGACGGCGTATCCGGCGACGTGTTCGAGGAAGAAGAAGTTGACAAGAAGCTGGCATGATGAATCTACTCTAACCAGGAAAGAAAAGATCAATGACCAAGATTGAAAACAAGAGAAGGTTATCGGCGGCTTTTAAGGACGTCAGCGCAGGTATCGGTCCGTCTAGAAGACTGAAAACGAAAGAGACAATCTATCGCGGCTTTTAAGGACATCAGCGAAGTATCGGTCCAATTGTTCAATATTCAATTCTCAATCCTATCCTATCAGAATCTAACGCAATCGGTTTTTCACGCCAAAACAACCTGTTCAGTGGAGTCCACATGTAGTCGTAGATGATCTTGAAGGAAAGCTTTTGCAAAGTTGAGGGTGAAAAGTTGCACAAGTCGCTGCTGGAATCCGGGATCAGAAAGCGAAAAATCTTTAGGTTCTTGCGCTGATGAGTCCATATTCTAACTGCAATCTCCTTAATTTTCACTATAGTTCTTTTCAACAACATTTGGTTGTCCTTCCAATGGATTTTCTTGGATTGGCTGTGGTCAAGACTTCTTTCCGAACTGCTTTGAAAGCTATCTACTGATATTATAGCACTCAGTACCTTAAAAACAGTGGCTTCTAAACTGATTGCTTCCAGCAGAAAACCATTGTCCCAAGTCTTGAGTAGTTTTAAAAGAATCAAAATCAATAGACCCAATATCACATTCAAGGCCACATCAAATGTATCATCTTCCAATGGTTTGCGGGTTTCACCTAAGATATCTAGTCTGTGTTCCTCATTTTCATGATCGCGCGAGTCTCTTCCTTGTTGCCTATTTTCTTCAGGATCTGTGTAGTCTCTTCTATTCTGGACAAAAACTCTATCTACAGTGTAATGATTGGTTTCAATAGAATGATCCGATAGTTCTGTTTCACTTTCAATCATTTTGTAGATGTTTGGTTCGACAGAACTTTCATCAATTGAAGGAAGTACACATAATAAGAAATCAGGTTCTTGAAGCTCTGATGGGCTGAAATCTTCTAGATCTTCTTTGACTTTATCGAGGTTGTATGGATTGAATCTGGCCGGATAGTCTCCTTGTTTTTGTTTGATGTCGCTCTCTAGATTGTCATTTTCAAAAAGTGATACATAGAAACTAGACCTATTTTCTGCTGATATGTCATTTCCAAAGGGCTTTTCAGGCTGGAAAATGACAGACTCCTCCTCCAACTTGGCTGATGTCCCCATCAGCTGGGCAGAAAAAGAAGAGACTGAGATATCTGAGTCTTCCATGTGAAAAGAATTTCTGGCCACTGTGTTGATGGGTGAGAATGTTGAATTGATATCTTCTATAAAGGTGCTGGTGTTGTATTCTTCCTTCTGAGAAAAATCCTCAAGTCCATCAAAATTTTTGTCTTCATAGTTTAAAGCTACATTGAAGTCTTCTAGCATTCTCTGAGTTATCTTTTCTTCCAATCCAGTGAAATCTGTGGTTAAAATTTCATCAAAAGAGGTCTTGCTAGCTGGTTGATCTTCAGAGTGAAGGTCTTGAGGCTCTGTTTCTTCAGTTATCTCTCCAAGGAATTTGTTTGTCTGTTGAGTAAAAATATTTTCTGGTTCTGAGGGTGGATTGAAAGTAAAAGCTACAGAGGAGTTGTCCAATTCTTCAGTTTCTAGGTCGCCTTCTTCTTCATAAGAGCTTAAAGATGGTACGTAAATTTCTTCAAGTTGCCCAAAAGAGGAGTAGAAATCTATTTCTGTCATAGCAGTCTTCTTGGAGTTTTCTGAAAACTGATCAACTACTTCTTTTATAGGTCTACTAGTATCCCAGGCAATTGGTGTATCATTTGGTAAAAGATAACTTCTGCCTTCTTTCTTGACTAAGCCATTGGATTCATCAAAAGAAAATAAATTACATCTGTTGGAACTGTGGTTGGGTTGGAAGCAATAATAACATCTGAAATTTGGGTTTCTGTTGGGGGCTGAAGTTGGGGGGTTGGCCTGTTGAGAGACTGAATCCAAGGGCTTGTGAGGAGGAGCCATGTTTCCAGAGGTCAGAGCAGCTAGTTGTTTGGTAAGATCTTGAAGCTGTTTATCATACGAATTTTGGACAGGAGTACTAGGAGTGGTAATTCTTGGTGCCGGTTTGGTCTGAGATGCTGGTAATTTTTCTTGATTCTTTTCTGGACTCCAAAGATTTTGTTGTTCCATTACACTGTCTGATTGAACTTCTCTTTGAATGTAGGCAATGAGAGTAACAGTGGGAGGTAAGATGTCTCCTCCATCTCTAGATCGAATCATCTGATTATCTCTAATAAGTTCTTTAATTACAGCTGATCCTAATCGGCGACTGAGAGCTTCAAGCAAGAGTTCACGGAATTCTTCAATACTAGTATTATAACCCATTCTAACTAGGTAGTGAGTGACTGCTTCAAATCTAGTCTTGAATACTTGAAATTCACTGAGAGTCCGAATTCCTCCTTTACTGACGGCGGAGCTGACCAAACTTTCTAGATCTTGCTTTGTGTATTTGACCAGCGGTGTGGTAAATAATACTGTGTTTCTACGCAGAAAATATAAAAATTTATTATTATCTCTCTAAATATTAAAGATATGGTAAAAATAACATCAGAAATGAATTTCTCAGGTAAAATTACCCCTAGTCACCCACTACAACTGACCCCATATCTCTCATAGTTTAGAAGTTACACAGATTTCAACCTGTCACGGGATGTCTTTTGGATTCTTTACTCTCAGTATGGCTTGTTTTGAATACTGGATGCATATTGAATATTGAATTCCTTTGTGTTTTATTGAATTCCTTTATTGGCACATAGTGCATATTGAATTCCTTTGTAGGTGCACATGCATTCCTTTGTAGTAGGACCTTGTAGGCTAGCCAAATTCCCTCAAGGCAGTGCTCTCACCAGCCAAATTCCCTCACCTGCATGTACTAGACTAGCTAAAATCCCTCATTGGATCTTCAGGCCAGCTAAAATGCCTCAAAAGCCTGTACCCTGGGGCTAAAATCCCTCACATTTGTCTATATAAGGAGGCCTCTGCCTGCCAGTTGTTCCCTCCATCATCCCACCAGTGGACCAGATCATCTCAACCACCCTTATAAATAAATACATCTTATATATTATTTCATAACTACAAGTCATAGCCACATTACAATTTCAGAATTATATACATTGAAATACAGATTTAACACTTTCATCAACATCATAAACCAAAAGTGCCCTGACCCACATTCAACAACAACAACTTCATCAATATAACCAACTGTCAATAACATCTTTATACCCTCACACATATCAATCGGCAGCTTCATCTCGAACTTATCCCTATCACTATATATAAAATTGCCAAGCTAAGCTTGGTGGTCTTGTTATTCTGATAGTATAGAAGGGCAGAGCTTGCAACTCCAACATACCCTTCTCCATTCAGCAAAAGGGTTTTCATAACCACTTTTGAGTCTTACAGCGGAAGGGCCTTTCCAAATCGATCAAGTAATTGTTTCTTCAAACCTTCCCAGTCAAAATCTTCGTAGCCAGTCATTTCTTCTATCTCGTCCTTTAAATCGGCATCCTTGATAAAAAAAATAACCTGTTTCGCCAAGTCCCTCGCACTAGCACCATCCGCCTCGCCTGCGCATTCGTACCGCTTGATAAATTTTTCAATCGCAACATTTGTCCCGTCAAAGAACACATCCTTATCCATGGGTTTCATGTTAACCATTCTTGCTCCAGTCTCCGGTCCAGGATATTTAGGCAATCTGATTTCTTTTTCCAAGAAATGGGGTAGAGGAGAATTGTCTGACTTCTGAGATGCTGAGGTATGTCGAATTTGTTGATGATCTGAGGGATGGAGGGCTGAACTACTGGAAGATTGAACTGACTGGCTTCTGTGTTGTCCATGGTTTGAGGGATATAGATTTAAAGGAACTGGCTGATTTCTGTAAGACATTTCTACTATGTATGCTAAGGAAAAATAACTAATAGATTTTCTAAAAAAAATGCTGGTATCTGTACTAAAAATGGTTTGAGGTAAGATTGATGTGGAAAATATCAGGGTAAGAATTTAAAATTTTCTCAGAGGGATATAAATAATGATCTGTTGTAACTGAAGTGAAAGTATACTAATAAAATTCTCTGGTTAATATTATAGGTAGTGGTTTTCTGGAACAGATGAAACAGTAAGACTGAAGTAATAAGGGGTCTAAGACTAAAGGTTTGAAGGAGAATAAAGGCCACTGTTGGGACACCACTTGTGGAACTTTTCAAGCTAAAGAAAAGAGCTTAGAGGGGAAAATAACAACTACACAGGGGTAAATGTGAGTTGAAGACTTGGATGCTGATGAAGCTGCCCTCTTGTCAAGGCTTGGGAGAGAGTTACGCTAAGAATTAAAGAAAAGGTGTGGCTATTTCTGTGGGTAATCTTAGTATGAGGTTTATTACTGATGTCTTGTACAAGGCACCTGTTGAGAGTGTGAGGATGTGGGGATTTTGGTAAGGATGAGGCTCTGGGGATAATGTTTTCTGGGTTCAATTTCTTATCTTCTGGGGGAAAATCAATAATAATTACTTCTGGTAACTACTAGTAAGTGATGTCTGCTAAGTAATTATCTGTTTACTTCTCTAATGCAAGCATGGGGAACAAAGTAAGTGGGAAAGAGTCTTCTCTATATACATGTGGGTGGTTCTGATCAGGTACTAGTGGTAAAATATCAGCTGATGTAAGAAGATGGTATGAAATAAGTTGTATCTGAAAGAAAATTGGTTATGAAATAATTGTAGCTGACAAATGTGTAGTGTGAAATAAACATGTTGAAAAGGAGAAAATATGAAGTAACTTCTGTTTGTGATAAAAATAATATGTAGTGCAAAAAGAAATGAGATAATCAAAGACTGAAATAAATATTCTGAGGTGAGATGAGAAATCTGTGTGGTGAAATATATATGTAGGTGATATGAGCAATGAGTAATGAGTTGAAATGAGATGTATGATGAGAATGTAGGTGATATAAGCCATGTGTATTGAGTTTGAAATGGAATGTAAGAATGAAATACTTGTAGTATGAAATAAAAGTAGAATAAAATAAATGTGGAATGAAGTAATTGATGTATGAAAAGAAGTGGATGATGAGTGAGATGAGATGACAATATCTGGATGAGAAATCAGATGTATGGGATGAAACAGTATATGTAGTCTGAATAAGTGATATCTGAGATGAAATAAATAACATTTACTGAAAGATTATTATCATAGAAAGAAGTTACTGAGGGAAGACTAATTTGTATCTTGAGATGTGTGATATGTAGTATGTTGTAGCTATGTAGTACTATATATTATGTAACCAAACTATGTAAAAAATACTGTTTTGTAACCTTCTGAACTGGGTACAAGATAATGGGTTATGTAGCATGTGCATATCTGGTTGTAATAACATGAAAACTACTATAAATAGCTATTTTGTACTATATATGACCTTGATTGGTCTCACCACACCGGAAGAAACCCCTTCCGGTCGACGAGGTACATGTACCTTGTCGACTGGAAGGATTTCCTTCCAGCCGGCGAGGTACATGCACCTCGCCGGCTGGAAGGAAACCCTTCCAGCCGGACATCCCCCCTTCTGGCCTCGGGTATCCTTTGGGATACCCGTATACCCGCCCAAATTTCTGGGAAAAGGGCACATCCGAACCCCAATCCGTATCCCCTGGCGGGTATCCGCTGGCGCTGGCGGGTATCTGCCAGGGGATAGCGGGTATCCGCAACGGATACCCCGCGACCATCTCTAATGCAGTTACATATATTGACATTTACCCGCAGGGAAATCATTTTTATTGCTTATAAATTGAATAAATTTCAAAGTATATCTATGATTTTTCACTGTACTTTCTGAAAATTCTCTAGTATACCAATGGTGGAGACTTATATGTAGATGAGAGGCTATGAAAAGATTTAGTTATTATTCAGCAAACTGAATGATTTAAAGTTTAGAAAAATTATAAAATTTTCATACAACTAACAAAGGTCCAAAGGCATATTCTTGATACCCACTGAAATAGATAAGAAGATTTTTTTTGGGGTATGAGAAGAAGCCAGAACCCCATATATTTTGCAATATCTTATCAAATTACCTCAAAGAGATCAATATGGGGTGGCCAGATCATCTTCCAAGTTACCAGTAGCCTTTTCTTAACATACCTTGTGCCCTGCATATAGAACCAATTTTATCAATGTTGCCACTACAGTGCACCATTCAAAAAACATACTGAAAATTAATTGACATTTCAAAAATTGTAGTTCATGTTAAAAAAAAATAGGAGTCTCCAAAATTCATGTTCAAACATTTTTTATTTTTATTCCATAGCAGATATTTCTGGGTTGATGATTGCACACCAATGATGCATACAGTCTTCTGATGAAAAATAGTTGATTGAGATTCATTTGGAATTTTTGGACTCATAAACCCTCCACTTTTGAGGAACACCCATGTGTTGCTGGCATAGTGGTATCCTGTTCTACTTGCAAGAGCCCAACACACTTCATCCTCTGACACATTGATAGCCTTGAGTTCAATTCCAGTTGCAAGCTACTGCAGGAACGCTCACATCAGCACACACATGCATTGTCACACTCTCATTGTTCTTCTGCTGCTCTTCATCTGTACCCCTTCCTGGGCAGTAAACAGGTGGAGAAGGTGTGAAGTGTGTTCTCTGATTTACCTAGATGTGATGGAAAAGAAAATGGATCATATTAGGCAACTCTCCCAAACAGGAACAACCAGTACAAAAACTTGTGGAGAATTGAAACCTGAAAAGTCTAGCTGTAATTATGTGTATCCAGTGGAGCTGTTCATATGTAAACTCTGTGATGCCCATGCCTGGGTCATCACAACTGAGGACCATTGCCCCAGACACCGACAGCCTGAAGAAAAGTATTTCGATCCAAAATTCCCAGATGATGATGAGGATGATAAATAGATCAAGAAAACCAAAGGAAATTGAAAAATGGGACATATGACACTGCATATATTGACATGTGCCCCCGGGAAACTAATTTTTATTGCTTATAATAAATTTGATAAATTATAAAGTATATCTACAATTTGCCACTGTGCTTTCTGAAAATTCTCTAGTAGACCAATTATCATGAAGACTTTCTGACTTATTTTGGAGGGGTTCTATGAAAATATGTAATTTTTAGTTAGCAAACTACATGATTTAAAAGTTTGGAAAATCATCAAGGTTTTACACAATTCACCCAAGGGATATTCTTGAGAAACGCTGAAATAGACACTATGGAAAAATCTTCCCAAACTGGTGGCAGTTTACATGCAGGTTACTCCCAATGTAACTTCTGTCATACTGTAATCTATTCATATGTAAGAATTTCTGCACAGTAACTGTCAGTGACTGTGCATTGGAGTATGAATGAGGTAATGGTTGAGAATATTTGATTAACAACCCAACTTTGAAGAGAGTTTCTGCATGTCAACTGGCAGCAGTTCCCTGAGAATTTTTCACAGTGAGATAGAAAGAGTTTTCAGGAAGGGGACAAAGCCAGAATCCCATATATTAGGGGGTATCAAATATAGCAAATCCACCTTTGCAAACCCGTCAATTATTTTTTTGAAATCCACAATTATTAATTGACGGGTTTCCAAAATCCACCTCCATCAACCTCAACGGGTTTTGAACAAAAAAACACACATATTTTCACCCAAACCAGTCAATTAAAATATCCCATTTGTTTCAACTCATATCACCGCCAATTTTCACTTGCACTGCCAAACTTCACCTCATCAGCACCGATCATCCCACCACCAAACTGATCATCTGACCACCAAACTTCACATCATCAGCACCAATCATCCCACCACCAACTCATCATCATCAACACAAAGATCGCCTCCACTCAAGTCCTCAAAAGCAATCATGCCCAAAGTATCTCGAAGAAAGAAAATAATCGAAGCATCCAATGTTGCTGCAATGGCCATGATGGTCGATTCAGATTCAGATCACGACTCAGAACTTGAAGAATTTTACTTTTTCTCTATGAGCCAGCTTCAAAAACGATACCTAGTAGCTCAAAACTCCACGACACGATTTGATCCTTGTTATGACTTGTCTGAGCTTCAAGAACTTCCAGAATTAAGCTTTGTGCAGATGTTTCGTATGACTTTTCCTTGCTTCCTCAACCTGGTACAGCTCATCAAACAAAACCCCATCTTCTACAACAACTCTCGTAATCCCCAAAGGGATCCACCAATCCAAATTAGAGCTGGTCGCTACGCATCCAGATATCCGCGCGGATGCGGATATCCGGCTGCTTTTTCAGGCCAAATGGCCATCCGCATCCGCATCCGCACCCGCTAGCGGGTATCCGTCGGCCGCAGCAGGTATCCGAGCGGGTATCCACGGATACCCGCCCTTTAAAGGGCCGGCGAGGCGGCTGGAAGGATTTCCTTCCAGCCGTCGAGTACCTCGACAGCTAGAAGGAAATCCTTCCAGTCGACGAGGTACATGTACCTCGTCGACCGGAAGGATTCCCTTCCAGTCGACCGGCGAGGTACATGTACCCCGCCGGCTGGAAGGGTTTCCTTCCAGTCGACAAGGTACATGTCCTTCCAGCTGTCGAGGTACATGTACCTCGCCGGCTGGAAGGAAACCCTTCCAGCCGGCCATCTGCCCTTCCGGCCTCGGGTATCCGTTGAGATACCCGGGTATCCGCTGGAAAATCAGCGGAAAGGGCACATCCGCACCCAAACCCGCATCCGCTACAGCGGGCAGGTATCCGCCAGCGGATAACGGATATCCGCAACGGATATCCAGAGACCAGCTCTAATCCAAATTGCTGTAGCAGTATGTTGTCTTGGATCAAATGGAAACGGTTCAGCTATCTACAGGCT